GCCGTGGCGCGAGTGCGCGCCCAAGTTTGCAGGAGCGTCGGCCGCGTCGCTCGGGGCCCGCCGGGGGGCTGCTGCCGGCTCCCCCGCCGCTGCCGCTACCGCTGCCTGCCCCGCTCCCCCGCTTGCCCGTGGCCCGCGCTCCGCGCCTCTGCCGAGAGCTCCGAGCGGTAGCGGCGGCCGGACCCTGCGCTCCGAAGGCTGCGGGAGGAGGAGGAGCGGGAGGGGGGCGGGGCGGGCCACGTGACTCGCGCTCGGGCTCGTGATGTCACCGCCGGCTCCAGCCAGCTGCGGGCGCCCCGGGCCGGGGGTAAATACATCAATCATCCTGCGCCCTGGGCCAGTCCCGGAGTGGCCCCGCGGTGGAGTTCCGGGCCTCTCTTCTCTCCTGTGGTCATTTGTGTAACTCTGTCACGGGTTTGAGATTCTTTTACAGTCTAGCTGGTTGTGGTTTCTCCCCTTCCACTTCTATTTGGCAGATAATCTGTAGATGCAAATGCTATCACTGTTATCTTGCTAACTGGAAAGAGGGAAAACTGCAGGGTGTGATTCCGGTCAACTGCAGTACTTTGAACGGCTGCTGGAGTCGCCAGGAGCAATTTGTCTCCTCTTCCCAGCTCAATTACTGTGGTAGTAACCTTTTCCCAGAAAATAGGATGTGTGTCAAGGACATCCTCGCTGTGCTTCGAGTAGCATTTTTAATCATGACTGCAGCTCTAAAGAAACAATCATAAAGCCAATTACTGCCACAAGGGCTCTGAAGGACACAACATAGAGCGTTAAGAGGTACTGAAAGAAAGGACTCCAGTTTGGAGTTATTTCTTCCCATCTGTTGTTTTTTCTCAAAGCGCCCTTGTCCTAAGTTAGCCTCTAATCACCGTCTAAGCCAAGCATCTCAGATGAGTTAGATCATTAGCGCATGTCAAAGTTTCGTTTCAGACTTGGAGCAAGAGAAAAATTGGTTGGATTTAAATTTCTTAAGGACAGGTTATATAGGAAGGAAGGAAGGTGTTAGATGAGGCTGTTTAAGTGCAGGACTAGTTAGTTTTACAAGGCTGTAAAGCTGTTAGATTCTTAGTGTGTAACTTAAACCTGGATCCAGAGGGACCAGAGAGGCATCCCCAGAGATGTCAGGTGTGGGCCCTTAATTGGAAATTATAAGTAACATCATTGTGGGAAATAATCAGAAATAAGGAAGAAGAAAGATCAGCTTTTGTTTTGTTTTCTCACTAAGAAGTTCTGTTTTCTCTCACACAAGAGAGAATTTTCTCTCTGGGGTCTTCCATTTAGTGTGTAATTGTAAGGGCACCTGGGTGGCTCAGTCAGTTAAGCATCTGACTTTGGCTCAGGTCATGATCTTAAGGTTCCTGAGTCTAATCCCCTGGATGGGCTCTGTGCTGACAGCTTGGAGCCTGAAGCTTGCCTTGGATTCTGTGTCTCCCTCTGTCTTTTTCCATCCCCCATTTGCATTCCATCTCTCTTTCTCTCTCTCAAAAATAAATAAAGATTTAAAAAAAATTTTAATGTGTAATTATAGCCATAACCATTTTTAAATTTTATATTTATTTATTTATTTATTTACTTATTTATTTTACTTTAGAGAGAGAGCATATGAGCAGGGGAGAGGAAGAGAGGGAGAGAGAGAATTCTAAGCAGGCTCCACACTCAGCATGGAGACTAACGCAGGGCTCTATCCCATGGAATCAAGAGTCAGACACTCAACCGACTGAACCACCGAGGTCCCCCCAATTATACCCATAGCCTCTCTTAAACTTCTGTGGGACAAGCAGGAAGTGCACTGAACAGGAAAGGAAATCGTGAATCAGGATGGGGAGTGCTACTTTCCAAATTCAAACTGCCAGCATGTTCCTAGAGTTACCTCCAGCTTTGCCCTCCCCACCAGGATTTCAGATTCGTTAGGTAAATGATTCATTGACTAAAGGGAATTTCATATTTCACAGAGCTTGCTATTCAAGAGCTGAGTTTACAGACGGTTGCCAAAACGCTCTAGATAAGAAGAGAGACAGAGAGTAGAAAAAAACCTGGCTGGAGCAAGGAGATAAGGAGAGAAACAATACATCTGCAAGCAAAGTTTATGAAATAAAACTTGGAGTTATATTTATTTGGATGCAAGAGGATTGGGGGGATTGGCAAAAACAAACAAACAAAACCAAAGAAAAAAAACCAGAGGCTTCCCACAGAACTTAGTCACTGCTGGGTTACATCCTCAAACAGCAGCATATGTAACTGGAATACGGATTGCAGGGGTACAGTTATGTAGACAGGTCACCTTGTTTTCATTCCCTAGGCACGTCAGCATCTGGGGTCACACTTGCTCTGTTTTCTGTAAGAGCAAAGGGTGACAGCCTGAGTGACCTTGGTCAGTCACTCACCCCTCCTCTCCCATTCTTCTGTCTCCACGGTACCTTCATCACTGAGACAGGGAAACTGAAAGGTCTCCATTTTAGAAAGGCTCTATGCCGGATATTTCTCTGCTAGGCTCCATTTCCTCATACTCCATATTTCACCTTGCATCTGAGTGAATCAAAAAAGCTATGTTCCCACTCCACAGGGGGAAGCAAGAAAGTTAATCAATCTACGAGTTTCATCCTAGGCCCCTAAACACCTGATAACATCTCAAAAGAACCGAATCCCAAACATATTCCAGGACATTAGCTTCCAACAAACCTCCATCAACAGCATTGGCATCAATCCCCCCACCTTCAGTGATTTATGGAATAACATCGTTCATTTGCCTGACACTTGCCTTTGATGGGACCAAACCCTGGGTCCCTGGAGGAACACGTACCCTGGACCCCTCTCCAATATAAACTCCTAACCCCAAGTGACGGGGAGGCCCACATCTCCTTTTTGAGTCTCCCAGACGCACCACCTGCTATACTCTATCACTTATACTACTGAATAAACTCTGCTCTCACTTCCTTCTGGCTCACGTTTGATTTCCATCCTTGGTGATGCCAAGGACCCTTTGGAGTGGTCCTACAGGGACCCTCTGGGTCCTCAGACTGGGCCTGCCTACGTCATGACCAAATTTTATATATTTATTTTTTAAGTTTATTTATTTATTTGGAGAGAGACAGAGACAGCG